AAAAAAAAAAAAAAAAAAAAAAAAAGATTAGCTTTTTTTTCCCCTTTGCAAGGCATCATGGTCTTGATTGGAAAAATGATTAGCTCCTAGAACAGCAGCTTGCAGAGTCTTCAACAATATGATAGATAATGAATGTGGCAGTAGCTGCTAAGTTACGGGAAAATAATCACCTCTTGCCAGAAAGATGAGCATGGTTTGATCTGCTAGCTCCTAGTTGCAAAGAACATAATAAATCTTCACATTTTAGCTTTTGGAACGTTAACATAAATTGTTTCCAAATACTCTAGACCTGCATGGCTTATGTCACTAGAGCTGTCAGACACAAATCTTCCTTTCTCAGGGGAAGGAAAATAAATAGATAGGAAGAATTCTCTGTGTGCGCAGTTCTTCAGAAAGAAAAAGTCACATGGGAGAGGTGACTGTCCAAAGAGCTTTTATTTCCTGTGCAGGTGCTGAGCAAAATACCCTGTTCTCAGGGCACAAGTAAAGCTCTAGTTCCACTGAAATCAATAGCAAGAACCCCTCTGGCTTCTACGGGGGGTTAATAACATTAGAAGAAGACAAGAAGGCATCAGAGTTTCATTCCACCAAACCAAATCTGATTCTTACCAATTTCTCCTTGCTGTCTCTCTCCTGTGTGTATGTGAGCCTGTACTTTTTGGAATTTTCAGTAACTCCCTACAAAGAGCATTGAAAYAGGAGAAAATCTCTTACTGGACTTGAAAATATAGCCAGAAAGAGCAGACAAAATTAGGGCAGAGAGTCCCTGCTTTCAGTAGTCAATACTGTCATAGGATGGGAGAACGCTAGACAGTTTGTTAAAGCTGTTATGAGCCCTATTTTTTGAGGCAATAATAATTTAATAATTATTTCTAGTTAAATGAATTTGAGAGGAGGAAAGAGGCGTATTTTTTAAGTTGATTTACTACTTTTTTTTCAGTAATTTTCATACCACTTTTTACTTCCTGAAAGACACCATCTGGGTAGTGCTAGCATTTGGAAGAAGCTGTGATTTCTTTTCTGGGCATTCAGTGAAAAGGTGTTTCCTTTTTGAGAAGTATTTGATGGCTAATATTGTAGGAGGAAACCTATGACAGAAAACTAATTTCTCATTACGATGTTGAAAGCAATCTGAAAGAGCATACATATCAAATGACCACAGCGATGAAATCTCAAGACCTTATTGTACCACAAACGTGTGTAAATAAGGTGAGTCTGTGGCCTCGCAAAGATTAGAGTCAACAAATGTCAAACAGAAGAGGAATAAATAGATTAATGGCAAGGAGGCTGAAGAGTGGTTTGTGTCAATCCACAACTACCAAACTTTTTGGTAGTTTGGTGTCAAACTTTGGTATCTTTTAAAGCCAAAAGCACTACATAAAACCTGTATTAAAGCCAAGCGTGGCTTTTGCACATATCATTAACTGACTGACTAGCAAAGGATAGTCACTAAGTTGCAGGCAAAAAAAATATTGCTCAGTTTGAATTTTCATTTCTTGTTTATAAGACAACAGTGAAATGATTGGTTTGATTTTCCTCCTCGTTCTTCACTAGGCAGACTTGTGATTAGTTTACATTTAATCTCTTCCCTATTGTGAAAACTTCATTAGTGGATAGTGAGATCCAGTCTGATACTAAGATTCGAACAGCCTGGAATTTGAGGATGTTTCACTGTAGATTCTATTTTTCTGAATAAAACCAAAATCCCTAATTTTAAGAGATGTTGGTGTGAAATTTGTGACAGATCAGGTAACTGACTCTAAAATGCAAACTCTGGCAATTTTTTCTCATTGTCTTTTAGTTTTATGATTTTTAGATCACCTGATCTCTACCTCTAATGCTGTCCAGAATTGCCCCTATAGTGTCTTCATATAGTGGAGCACCCCACTAAATCAGTTTAGGACATAGAAATGAGCTCTGTTTATCCCTGTTGTTGTAGTATGAGCTCAATCCAGTGCTACAATCTTTGAGAATATTTAAGTAAATCAGACCCCTTTCAGATACAGGGACAGATGATACTGTATTTTATAAAATAGTATCAGTGACTTTTCATAATGTTTGCTTCTGATCCGTATGAAAAAAAAAAAAAAAAAGGAAATAATATGATACTTCAGAGGAAACCCCTGTAACAAAAATCACTAGGGCACCCAGTTGTGAGGAAAGAGTCCTTGCCTGCAGTCACAGACCGTGTCTATATTTTGAATTTTAGCAGCCTTTGTAGGGAGGACAGAAATGACACAATCACCTTTAAAGGAATACAGTTTATGTTTTGCAGTTTTACACATCTTGATTGCAGGGAAATTTTCATTCTTTGTTATCACATATTAACTTCTAACTCAGGGTTGGAAAAATCAGTTTTAAAAAAGGGTGAAAGGTGCAAGTTTGTTCCCAACTCCTATTCACGTCATCTTTGTAATAATTCAAATTGACTGTGCAAACAAATCTTGTTATAAAAAAAAATAAAAATCAAAGTCTAATAAAGCCTGAGAAAAAGTTACAGCTCTCTGTCCTACAAATAGTCTATTTGGACTATTGGATAATGTTATCCAGTCCTCTCAGATGCTGTCGTACATGCACACACTAGTTTATACTGGTCTGTCTCCATTAATTTTGCTGCAATTACCCCACTGAAGGAGATTTATTCTTCTCTRCTTCTCTCAAGGGAAGTATAACTGTGTTACGTTATAAGTGTAAACTTTTTTCCCTCAGAGTTAAAATCTTAACCAAATCCCAGCTACAGGAAATATAAGAAAATTATAAAAACTGAAACCTTGGAAGAGAACTGAAAATTTCAGAATGCCCCCAGGGTGACTCCTGCAGCCAAAATAAGARGACAAACTCCAGAACTGAGGAATTTTGGCCAAGAACCCTGAGCAAGTAACTACTGCTTGTTTCARAGTGAGAGGTGAGGTTGGCAGAAAGACCACAGCTGCTCTAAATGTCACCTGAGTGTGAAAGACAGAGGCAGTTACCTAAGCCATTAGTACTCATTAAGGCTTTATAGATTAAATTTGGCCTAAAGGAGAGAGCAGGCCTGGCCATCTGTGAAGGCCCTGCAGAGAGGTGGAGCGGGCTYCACCTGGGAAATGCTGCTTCACCAGCAGCATGGGGTAACTCACTCCATAAGCCTCAGGTAAGAAAAATGTTGATGACTCTAATGAAACCCAGACACAAAATAAATTGTCCCAGGCAATGATGAAGGTTCAAGCTAGTAAGGAAAGGCATTTGTGTCATTGCTGCTTGTGTGTGAATCCAGAAAATGCTGGAGATACAGGAAACCAAGGGAACAAATAGCAGGTGCCCTAGTTGCTTTTCCCTTCTACAAACATTATTTGCAATCCACCTGAACCAGGACAGCTAGTTTCATTTGTGTCCCAGTACCTCATAGCTGTTAGATAAGTCATTCACCTGCACCAGTGAAGAACCACAGGCCCCATATCCCCTGCTGTTAACAGCAGGGTTCCTAGAGCCCTGTGAGCAAGCAGAGATGGAGGACAACCTGGATCAGTGCAGGACAATAGTTACCAGATTTTGGCTCACTGAGAACATACAGAAAGGAGTATCCTCCTTTCCAAGGATGATACCACATAGCTGTGGTGCCTGTATGTGACTAAAGTCTACCAGCAGTGCTAAAGTCTACCAGATGTTACTCCTTGAGTCATGCTGGATTATCATTTGAAGGTGCTTGACTCACTCCATTGGCTACAGACGTATCTCCTCACCTTGGGGAATGTAGGTTAAACTTGCTTTATATTCCTTAAGCACCTGATGTGAATTCCTCAGTCAGGTTTTACTYGCATTTCTTTCTCTGATCTCTAGTATCAGCTCCTGTAAAAGATAGATCAGTGGATGGCTAAACTAGATGGGCAGCCACCTTTATCCAGTATGGCATGGTTTATAGCCCAATTCCTTCCTATTGTGCAGATTTATCTGATTGAAAGTTTAATTGAAATGGAAATACGATGGGATAAACTGAGACAGATTATAAACTCTATTTTGGTCTTTGGGCCAACAGCAGTTCAATCTGAAATGTTCTGCTTTTCTTTTTACGTCAGGATAGCCAGACGCCRGGTACCACCATGACTGAACGCTTTGACTGCCACTACTGCAAAGAGTCCTTGTTTGGTAACAAATACATCCTGAGAGAGGAGAGTCCCTACTGTGTGAAATGCTACGAGAGCCTTTATTCCAACACCTGCGAGGAATGCAAAAAACCCATCGGAGCTGACTGCAAGGTATGCYGGATTTGTGTCTTCTTACAGAAATCTTGTCAGGGTAGCCTGGGTGTCATCCCTTAGCTCTGAGTACTTGCCGTCAAAGATGAGGGCACAAGTGGGAAGGCCTCTGTATGGAAAGTGCTTATCCTCTAGCACCCTGTTCACTAACAGGAGGAGCGAATGACTTGACCCTCCAAAGTGCTAAACACATTTTTGGAACCAATGGGAGCAGAAAGTACAATTTAAAGCACTATTAAAAAGTTTTCAAGTATAAAATTCAACTTTTGATATTAAAAACACAGATGATGCCTCTTTCTTTTTCTTTCTTACCCTCCTCTACCCTCCCCAAAGTTAATTAATGATGAACTTTCACGTTTAGTGAACTTTGTTCAGAGGTAGTTAAGTGCTGACATTTTATTATAGCATTAAAGATGAACAACGTTGTCATTATGCTGGAGTCCCTACAGGTGTCTGAGACATGGCAGTGTCAGCTAGAAGGATTCATGCTTTTCACCACTACTCTAATTTACCAAGCATGTTAATAGAAACACAAAAGCATCCCTCTCTTTTTGTAAGCCATGAGAATCTGATGGTAGAAGCATCACCAACTCATTAGGAAAGCCAAACTACCCATAAGGCCAAGTGGGATCTGGAAAGATGATGGAAATCAGTTTTGTCCACCTTTTGAGCAGAGAGATTTAAGACACTGCTAGCTTTACAGCAGGTATATGCATAATTTGGGTATCATCAAGACAAGACCTGTGATGTTAGAACTGTGCTCAGCGCAATCCAACCCAACAAAATCGTGATGAGCCTAATGTAGGATCATAGAAGCCCCTTTAGAACTCTATCATTTTTTTTTGTAGTTAATATTTATATTCCTATCTTTGGAGACTGACAGACTTGCAGAATGTTTGAAGTTGGAAGGGACCTCTAGAGATCATCTAGTCCAACCCCCTGCTCAAGCAGGGACACCCAGAGCATGTGCACAGAGGAGTGTCCAGGCTGTTTTTGAAGACCTCCTGAGAAGGAAACTCTRCCACCTCCCTGGGCAGCCTGTTCCAGGCCACCCCCGAGAAGAGTTTGGCCCTACCCTCTTTACATTCTCCCTCAGCTATTTGTACATGTTCATAAGATCCCCTCTCAGTCTTCTCTAGGCTAAACAGGCCCAGCTTGCTTAGTCTTTCCTTCATACAATAGATGCTCCAGTCCCTTAATCATCTTCAAGGCAAGTGCTTGAGTGGACTCTACTCCTGTATGTATTCAGGAAAAGCTGCCAAATCATGAACCACAAAAATCTGGCTAACATTGACCTGAGTAACAGGCCAGCTAGAATGCATTTAGAATAATTAACATCTTAACTGTAGCCTGATGATACTGAAGTCTGACTAAAGATTGCAAAGGAAACAGCGTGAGGGAGACCAGAGTCCCTGCTTGGTTGAGCTCTGCAGTGCTGCACCACACAGAAACACCTACCTGACCCACGGGAAGTCCAAACACTTGCATTTCATTTAAATTAGCCAGGACACCTGGAGTACAGGCCAGTTTTATGCCAGCTGAATGAAGACAGATGATATTTGATTGATGTATAGTGGGGTTTTTTGACCACCAAAGATTGACTTAATCCAATGTATAATCTCTGTGTACCAGTTTCATCTGCTCAAGGTTGGCCAAGGGTTTCAGTGGTAGAGTGACTTAGCACTAGAATAGCAATTTCCATCAGGTCAATGATGATGACTAGAAGAGCTTTCTATCAGGTTTAGAATAGCTATGAGATTTTTTTGAATGTTACAAGTCCTGACATCTGATTTCCTTTGCTGTCAGTCTGTAGTTTGAGAAACACCGGGTAGTCCCTATTACTGGTATGGCCAGCCTACTACTAGCTTATAAAATCACAGTTATAAAAACATATGCAAATTTGGATTGGAAAAATGCCAGTTCTTACGTCTTCCAAATTGAATCTTACCCTACTGGAAAATCAGTAGGAAAGCCTCTTTCAGAAGTATTAGAAAAGAGAATGATTCACCATTATGATAGGGAGCTGGCAGTAATCTGCAAGAGGGTGTAACAGTGCCAGCTTTCCTAGAGCTCATAAATTAGAGCTGGACTGACACGGACAAGCAAAATATTTCTGCCCCATTTGAGAACGTACTTTGTTTTAAGGTCTCTTTCTAAGCCCCTGAGAAGATATTTCTATGTGTTGACATCCAAGAATTTCAAAACTTGGACCAGTTTCAACAAACTTTGGGCAGAGCATTCAGGAACTAATCAAGCTGAACTTTTCAACCTAGATTTATGGATTTAGGGCGTGTTATCCGATATACTTCTTGTGTTTTTAAACAAAACATAGTCTAATAGCATATAGAAAAAAATGTRTGTAATGTAAGACTATAAATATAGAGAACTAAAACTACATCTGAAGAACAGAACTACAAGATAGAGAATAAAGATTTCTTAAACAGTTGAAAAGTATACCAAAAATGAATCCTTTCTTCTTAGTTTCGGTGACTGCTCTTTGTGCCTGTCCACCCCTGAACCTGTAGTTTTTGAAACCTTTGACTAATTGTAACTGAATCTTGATAGATGGATAAAAGTTGCAAACTCATTAAGTTTTCTGTGGGAAGAAAAAAAATATATACATGTTGTTTAGAAAGAAAAAAAAGAGATCCTATTACTGTTCCCACTGAGAGAAAAGTACAGTAGTTTTCCAGTTTTCCACACATACACACATAAGTATATAAACACATTATATATATATATTAATGCATACATATTTATAATATTAACATATTTTGGTGGGCATTGAATGTATGTGCTCCACAATTCTTTAAAAAATTGCATCTTTCTCTGAWGAAAGAAGTCAAAATGTACCTTGGATGAAACCGGCATGCTTACTGTGTGTACAAAGAGTGGGCTCCATAGATATTTGTGTTGTGTTCTGATACAGTCTTTATGCACTGTGAAGTTCAGAACCAAAATGTAATGGTGTGATAATGTCTTAAGTGCTTAATTTGTCTGAGTGACAATTATTACAAAGAAAAAAAAAAAAAAGAATTTCATTAGTGGCACGAAGAGGAGCAACCTTCCCACAGCTGAAAGGGCAATATCAAACTAAAACAGGTGTTGACAAGAGAAGAGCCAGCTCTCCATCTCTGACACTAATGCAGTGTTTTTCTTGGTGTCTATCAGCACTGCTGCAAAGCATCATCTCACCTGAATTAAATTTAAGCCTGCTTGGCCACTGGTAACAGTCAAGCTTTGATAGCATTGGCTCTGAGAGAGTCAAAGTGGTGCCAGATTTTCACTCCATGTTATAACTACAGTACAGAAAGGTTGTAAGATACTGATTTGAAGACAAGCTTTCTTGGAATTCAAAGCAGGAGAAAATTTGTTTCACCACTTTCCTTTTTTTTTTTTTATGGTAATTATGATTGTGAATGTAACTACGAGCTGTTTTGTTATTTTAAATGCTACTCTTATACAAAAAAGAAAAAAATGAAAAAAATAACTGGATGACATGTGGTGTTAATTACCCCTTTGGATTTAGGCCATTGTGGTAACTGTAAACATTCTTAGCTGATGTTTACGAGGATTTCACAGGCAGATTAAAAGCTCCATAAACGAAGTGGTAGGAGGCAGTGGCAGACAGGAGAAAAAACGCAGTGCCCTCTTGGCTCGTACAGCACTTGCACATTAGCCGTGTGTCCGGAGGTGCTCATGGATATTTACTCCTGGAAGAATTAGTTGGCAGTTCACAGCCCGTGTCTCTGGGAATTGCTCACTACACCTGCTGCTTCACGCCGCAGCTCGCCTGAAAGAACGTGCTTTTTTTCTGGAAATCCACCCGTTATATTCTCATCTGCTTAACTGCTTAAATGTGACTTTTAGTTGTTTTTGGCTTTTTGAGYGGTTTCTCTGCAGGCTCTTTGGCACAGAAACCATCACAAATGCAGGAAATACCTGCAATAAYCGGAGGGCTGCTGCGGGCCACAGGCTGGCCCTGGCAAGGAGGAAGGGGGAGAAACTCTTGCTGTGAAATCTGAGAATGAAATGAGAAGCGGATTGTGATACAATGCTACTGTGTCAAGAGGCAGGCCAAAAATGAATCAAAAGGGTCAGTCTTACATGTAAACGAAGCAAGAAGTAAAGCCTGTGGAGCAGGAAAAGGAGAAATGATTTKCCCTTAATTTTTAAACACTGTCCTGAGTTGAAACTCTTTCTGCTCATCACTGAATYGGACTAGCTGAAAAGTTGAGAGCAAGAAGACAGATCCTTTTATCTCCTCTGAGGCCACTAAGTGCTAGGTTCACCACTATGTCACTTAACTTTGTCTTTTCTAAATCCCTCTTGATGAGAAAGTACCAGTCTAATATATTTCACTAGCCTGCCAGATTCTGCATGCCTAAAATCCATACAGCTTTCTTTGCTCTTGTACCGTGTTTCCCCTGCCCAACCTTTTGAACAAGAGCGTTGTGGCAAGCAAACAAAACAAGCTTGACATTCATGGACAAACACATACAGTTACTTTTSTAGTAATTACCTTTCTAATCCCCTTTTTCCTGTTGAGTCCCCACTGAGAGCTGGTTMAGAGGAAAAGGAAATACATGACGGCTTAAACTTACCTTGACTTATAAAGCCAGGGTATAATGCAGTGCAGCTGCCAGAGATAAGGAGTTTCTGTTTATCCCATTTACATAGAAACTTCAGTCTTGTGGCTTTTCCATTTAAAAAAGGAAAGTCACCGGCAGCCCCATCCTCGAGGCCAACAAACCATAGTGAATCAAAGCTGCACAGAACTGTGGAAAATATGAAATAAATTATGATTTTAACAGTGGTCAAAATGGCCATCTTGACCATATATTCTTTAAGGTTGTCATAATAGAAGTAAGCTAAAGGAAAATGAAGTGTTTAAAATGTAAACTGCTCTTCAAAATCAGGAGGTTCAAGCAAATTGTACATGAGATGACTCAAAAGTTCCGGAGAATATAGGATCTGTTCTAAATTTTCCTTAAGCCTTTTTCTTACAGTCATCTGTTTTTCTCCCTGCATATTGTGCTGCAGGCTTTGCCCTCCTTCACTTTTATTAGTATTACATCTGAATCTAGGCTGCAACCCTCTGCACTTCAGCTCCAAAATGCTCAGAAGATAGATCCATATCCATAAGCATCTGCACACACTCATCTCTATGTGCATCCCTCTTATTTGTGATGTGTATGTGTGCCTTATCTCTCAGGAGCCTGGGATAGTCACTTTTCACAGAGGTGCATGGATGGACTGAAAAAAAGAGTCATTCTCCAGATTTAAACACACTGGAGTGTGCTTAAAAAAACTAAAACTGGTATTAAAAACTAAAGTTAAAATATGCAGCAGGGACTTCACTCAAGCTGTATAAAGCAGCTATGACGTTATGCTTAGTACTTTAAGGATACACTTCAGTTTTGAGTCCACAATAGCATTTTTCTGTGTCAGTTCTTCCTGGAAAACTGTGCAATAAACAGGAATTAGTAGCAAATCACTCGTATCCTCTTCTGTTGGAACAGATTTATTGGGTTACAGGCAGCTGTCATAGCCTAGATCTTGCAGGTTGATGCTCTTTCAGCTTAAGCGAGGACAGGCCTAACAGCCAGGCTTGAAACCACCTTTGCATGTGCCACTTCTCCAGAGCAGAATCTTTTCTAAATTAATACATCTACGACTAACGCACAAGCCAGAGGTTTCAGTGGAAACACAACATACTGAAGCAGACAAACCCTCATTTCCCAAGACTTTGTTACACCGACATAAGAACAATGAGAAGCTGCTACACTATATGCACTAAAATACAGGATGTATTATGTACATATTACACTATATGCACTAAAATACARGATGTACATAGTACAAGTACATATGTAGGATAATGGCAATTACAAAATAGCTGTACTTTGATTTATCCAGTTAGAGTCCACAGAAGATGGTATCAGAAGTCTGACTAAAGGGTTAAAGCTTTTCTACCCCTAATTGTTGTCTTCTCTATTCTTCTTCTGAAAGAAATACACCAGCTGCAAGATATGTTTTTATTGATAAAACAAGGCAAAGCAAAATCAAATATCAGCATATTGATTGTAGAGGTAAACAAACAAAACCCTTGGAGAATATTGTATAAAGAGGAGAAAGGCAGCAAGAAGGGAGAAAGTAAATACCTTTTGTTTCACTAGGGAAAGGAAAACAATTCTCTTATTCCATTTTTTAGCAGGCAAACTTCACATTTTGGAAGCCTGTGTGCTGGCTGTACATTGCMTTTTTCCATTGAAAATATTATTCCTGTCTGAGATCAGAACTAGAATATTCAACTTCCTTTAAAGACAAAAGAATGTAAATAACTTTATTATTTTGATATTAGAAAAGATTGAGATTTTTACAGTTAGGAATTGGATTGTTTCGAAAGGATTTAACTGAWGTGAATAGACAAGCTGAATAGATAAGTATCTGAGAGCTCTAAAGTGAGAACTTCACATGTCCTATCTCAGAGCACAACCTCAGAGCTGGAAGACATGTAGGGCATCAATACATAATCATGATGACTGAAAAAAAAGAAAAAAAAAAAAAAAATAAAAAAAAAAAAAAAAAAAAAAAAAAAAAAAAAGCTTTATTACAAATTTAAGTTCTTCCTGAAGTTGCTATTGCTTATCAGTTGTGTTATGCAATCCATTTCAGTATCAGTATCCTGAAAGCAACTTGTTAGAGGAAGACTCCAGCAGACAAAACCTTCTTATTTCAGGTCAGCCTAAATCCACAGAACTTTCCAGCTGCTCTGGGTTAAGACTGCAAAACTGAAGTTATCTGTGGCTCAACATACAAACAATAGATTGGGCAAGAATAAGTGGGAACACTGTATGTGGCTTATGTGTTATGTAATGTATAATTAAAAAAAAACCCTGTTATCCTAGAGTTCATTTTTTCTCTTCATTCAATGGAAGTAATTTGGTGTTTGTATTTAAGTTATAGTAAATCTTAAGATGGAACGTGAACAGGAATTTCTGCTGAATTTTGTACTTCCCATTTATGACGATATCACCCTCCCCACTCACAGCTCAGAGCGACAGCCTGCATGCTTAGGTGGAGATATCAACACATGAGTCTATAACCAGCCTTTCTTTTAATTAAAATTAATTAAAATTAATTAAAATTAAAAAAAAATAACAAATGGGCTTTTTTTAAAGAACAAAAATAGTGGAGAAAACTAAGGTGCACTTTAAACATGGAGGTGCCAGTGCACATCCCATGGACAGGGTATTCTGAATCAATAGCTGCAGATGCAGCGTGAAGTACCATTTTTGGGGGCATTCACTCATGGCAAAGAATGTACAGGAGGCACCAGCAAGGACTTTGACCCACATTTAAAACATAGGTAAAAATAACTAAGACTTGGGAAAGCACATAGTTCCAGTACAAAAAAAGGAAGAGGTATCAGGCCAGTTTCACACTTGGTGTTAATCTGTTGAATTGAATAAATATCAGAGATTAATCTGGAAAATGCTTTCTGCSCAGCAAGGAGCAGCTATGAAATGCCCTAGAATCAGCAAAATCTAAGACAACGAGGAGCAGCCAGTTATGCCTGAAAGGTTGGCAAATTTTAATCTGACTCAAAACCAGGACTTTATTCTCAAAGGAAATACTGACATAAATTAGTTGTTTGTCCGAGGCACACAGAAAGTGAAGGTTACCTTGGATTGCATTTGTTAAAACCTATTGAAAGAGGGACAAAAGTCGTTGTTAGCCAGGTCTGGTAATGACACCTAAACGAGTTCCTCCTCAGCAGAACATCCTGTTTGGTAGAGCTGTGCAAATGATCCTCCTCGTAACTAACTCCTMATTGAGACTGGGACATTCTGACCTTCTCTGAGCCCCCGTTTGTACAGACCCTTCATTCACCTGCTCACTCTGCCTCTCATATCCACAGGATCTGTCCTACAAGGACCGGCAYTGGCATGAATCCTGTTTCCACTGCTTCCAGTGCAAGAATTCACTGGTGGACAAGCCCTTTGCTGCAAAAGAGGAGCATCTACTTTGTACTGACTGCTACTCCAATGAATACTCTTCCAAATGCAGCGAGTGCAAGAAGACTATTATGCCAGGTTAGGATTCTTACTCTTTGAACCAAAAAAAGATCATTAAATCTTAATCTTAAATCACATTTAAGATCATTAAATCTTAAATCACATTAAATACCAAGCCCAAGCTCACTGACACCTGTAACATATAAGTCTTTCCCTGCCTCCCTCACTCTCAGATCATAGTGAGTTTTGTACGTGTATCATTTTAACTCATAATTTTGAGTTATTCTCACAGCCAGGTGATTCAGTTGAGTTAATCATAATGAATCATGATTAAAATGTTACACATATAGTGYGGATTAACATGACTCTTGAAATCTACTGCTTATTTCATTTTGTATTTTTATTAACAAGCACTTACATATTTCTATAGAAGTATCTCAGAAGAGACTTTGAAGGCCGGTCAACTAAAATTGATGTTTTTCCATCCAAGCCCAGCTTTCTATTCCGCCTGGCTTCCACTGTTTGAACAACAAAGGAAGCTTCTGAATTGAAGAGTTTACTTAACTCTCAATTTAGCCTTTTTTTTTTCTGTAAATACTCTAAGTTTAGCTTCTAAAATAAGAACAGAAAGCTGGTCAAAGCACCACTGAAGTCTTATTAAACACAAAGATCCAAAGAAACAGGAAAGATCTGTTTGTCTGCTTCAAGTTACGTATAAAAGAAAGCAGATGTCTAAAACGTGGAGTTGCAGGAACAGATTGTGAAAATCTGATTTGCTGATGACAACGCAGGCAGTCTGCGATGGTTTGAGGGCTTAAGAGGATGGCATGTTGGGCTAGAAATAAAGCATTAAAAGGCAATTTGAAGAGCCCGTACATGTGCTATATAGTGATTAGTGGTTACTTATTCCAGCAGAATTTTTCTGCTGGACTGGCTCTTACATTGGTCATCCTAGGCAAAAAAACAAAACCCACAATTCTGCTTGGGCACCTGACATGTTTTGATTAAAAAAAAAATACAGCTTGGTGATGATAAGCAGTGTATAAATAGAATCAACAAAAGTTTTCAAAAGCAGATGGCCCCATCCACTCACGATTCAATGTAAGCATCTGCTTCCATTACTCTGCATGCACCTGTTTCTTCATTAAAAACTGACATGTTTGAGAAGAGCCAGGGCTAGTTTTAAAAAATCTAGAAGGTTTTTCTTAAGATAATCCGTCAAATCCGCTCTCATCAGCAGCAGGCTTATTTGCAGAACGTACCTCTACATGTTTGGCAAGTTATAGACTGGTGAGCAGTAACAGAGGCAGATTCAGTGAGGCAGAGATTCACTTCTCTTATAAACTGAAATGGGAGAAATGATCATTTTTTAATGAAGCTTCACAAGCACTGATTGGTCCCTAATYGCTTCCCCAAGACAGAGTTGATGCCACCACGTACAGAAGGCAGAACATCCAGCCTGTCTCTTCTCTTCACATTGTACCCCGGGTTAGCACAGGAGTCAGAATGGGGCACAGTGGTCAGCAACTGAAATATAATTCATTTAGAAGGAAGCAGCAAGTGGTTGGACACCTATTACGGAAACTTTTAATGCTGCACTTGCCCTTTGCTTTGCTCCATTAAATGCACATTTTAGATTTAATAAAACATTATCATGATAAGCATATGAGATACTAAGTTAATTAATTACAAGCGTGATCTTTCAGTTCTGCTGCAAATTGAATTCAGACTTCAATTCTGCAGGTAATAAACAGGTCTCTCCTCGCATCCTGTTTCAGTGATAACACAGCTCCAAATAAAGCCCAGGCAAAAAGAATGAAAATAGCTGGAGTGTTCTGCSTCTTTCCCCAGGATGTCATTCCTTCAAGGACTGATTCCTTTGCTCCTGAGTAGGATACCAACACACAAAACGATTTTCTCTCTAATGAARTGGATCAGCAGGGTTAGTCAGGACTGGCTAGGCTGGTCAGTGTTCTTGCAGCAACTCGGTAGCCTGTTGCTACCACAAGCGTCATCTGCTTTTCCTCTCGCTGCTTCCAGCTGACCAGGGTGCTACAGAGCACCTAAAAACCTGCCCATGTAAGGGGGCACCTCCAGTTGTACACCGGGACTCGGAGCCCACCTGTGCTTTAGCTGCTGACAGAATCTGCACTCTCAGATTGCAAACATACCTACCAGCAAGTGTCCCGAAAGGGGCAGGTCTCAGCGGGCTCGCGCTCTGCTTGCCTTGCAGGCACTCGGAAGATGGAGTACAAGGGCAGCAGCTGGCACGAGACCTGCTTCATCTGCTACCGCTGCCAGCAGCCCATCGGGACCAAGAGCTTCATCCCGAAGGACAACCAGAACTTCTGCGTGCCCTGCTACGAGAAGCAGTTCGCCATGCAGTGCGTCCAGTGCAAGAAGGTACCGCTCTTATTACGGGAGGTGTCGCAGATTGCTAGGACAGGCCTAAGAAAAATGGCCAGCAAAGGAGGCTGGCCTCAGAGAGGACAGTTCAGAGTGACATTACCCAAYGTACAAGGAATAAAACACTTTTAGCACGAGGCAGCCTTGTATAAATTGGGAAACAACAATGAATCACTTGCATTTTTTATCCTGAGGTCAGCTCCTCCCCCAAAACTGGGATTTTCCTGTTAAACTTCCCCTCTCCCCTATACCTCCCGCCAGCACAAACCTCACGACCCTCCCTCCTGTCTGAAGGCAGAGACCCGACTCCCGCGAGAAAACTCTTTCCGTGTTGCTTTCCCCGACCCAGGCGATCACCACGGGGGGCGTCACGTACCGGGAGCAGCCGTGGCACAAGGAGTGCTTCGTGTGCACGGGCTGCAAGAAGCAGCTCTCGGGGCAGCGCTTCACCTCCCGCGACGAGTTCGCCTACTGCCTGAGCTGCTTCTGCAGCCTCTACGCCAAGAAGTGCGCCGGCTGCACCAACCCCATCAGCGGTAGGTCTGCCACGCGCTGGAAGGGCTGAAGGAAGCAGTTGCTTTACTTGCCAAAGGGCTTCCCAAAGTAAAAAAACTGCTTCTAATGTTAGGAATGGTCAGTAACTCATTTTGAGCGGCTTGAGGGAATAAGCACTGGGGTCTGGGGTGCTTGGTTACCTCACGATACCTTTCGCCGTGGGTGCTGTTTTTCTGCTCRTGGCAAAGATTCATTCCTCTTCTGCCTAGTGCAGCCCTATCACAGGGTGGCTTTTGAAAATACTGTTACTAAAGCAAACAAAACTCCCCTCGTTAGTTAAAGGGCATGTCCAACTGTAAGTCTTTTCACAGACTCCCAAGTACKCATCCTGATATTTCATATTCAGGTGACCTGTTGCCATTCTGTAGGTTGTACAACAGATAACTGCAACCAAACCAGAGACCTCTGCCTCCTTGCTTTCTTCTCAGTACCTTTCATCTCTCACACCATTTTCACCACCACCCCTACCTTCARCTTCTCTGTAATATTTTTGCATTTTACTAATCTGCTTCTTCCCTCGAGACACGTCTCTTTAGAAAGCTGTGAATCAGGTTCACAGAAAGCACCAGCCTTCTTCTAAATGCATTTTCTGTAACAATTAAACATTACACTGTTCCTGTAAGCACCCCCCAAACGAGCGCTCCGTGGCCGAGGCTCCGTTCCTTTCTGCTAACCCGGCGCTTGTGCTTTCTGCGCAGGGCTCGGCGGCACCAAGTACATCTCCTTTGAGGAACGGCAGTGGCACAACGACTGCTTCAACTGCAAGAAGTGCTCCCTCTCCTTGGTGGGACGCGGCTTCCTCACGGAAAGGGATGACATTCTCTGCCCTGAATGTGGGAAGGATATTTAGGGCTGAAAGAGAGGGACGGAGCGGGGCACGCGGTGCCAGGAGGAAGCTGTGCCTGCAGTCTATACTTTGGGGAGCTAGCTTTGGCCTTCTGTGTTTCCCTGTACCGTTCACATCACTTAACCTTTCCCTGCAGCCTCTACAAAGCTGGAGGGAAAACGACTTCAAAAGCTCTAGCAGCAGTGCTGGTGTTTAAGAATTGCTGTAGCTAACCAGAACTAACGCGAAACCCGAGATATAAAACCATTTAGGTGTTACTGACTTGCTCTTCTCTACACTAAATATTCCAGTTTAAGCATCTGATTTAATTTACAAGCGAGTGATGCAGTTCAAGGAGGATGACGACTACAAACAAATCCGTAGATACTCAGGATGAAACCCTCCAGCCATTGAAATCAGTGGCAAACCCTCAGTTTCCATAAGGCAAAGGTCTCACTTCAACATCCTTGAGCTGTGTCACTAGTGTGTGCTGACAAGTGCATAGAACGACTAAGAATGTAGTGTGTTTTGCTGTACAAATAAATGTGCCAGGCTGTAAAGATGATGGAAAAAACAGCTCAAGTTGGAGTGCTGCATAACAGATGCCTGTTTTATTGCATGACTAGCTGATCTTTGTGTTAAGTACAAGTTCTGACCGACAGTATCAGTATTACAGGTAGTTGACATTACGCTGCACATTGTATTTTTCAAAATAAAACCATTTAAAACAAAGTTTTGTGGTCTATCTGAATATGCATATTTGATATTTACAAATAAAATGTGTGTTTACAGTCTTAAGAAATAYACTGCAAGAGCCATACAGATACAATCCTTTTCACCCCACACATCTCTGAACCTCTAGAGTTTAAATGATCTTCATATGGGTCCCAATGATAGAGCAGAGAAGTCTCCTATGAACTCAGATCAGTGGGAAGTTTGCAGTGAAACTGAACAACTGCATGAAAATAATTAACAGCAGCCRGTAACACTGTGTTTTTAAGCTATAAAGTCAAAATCAACAGCAGATTTTCAGCAACAGAGAGGTCAAGACAACTCCAAAGATGCTAAACTTCTGGTTTTCCCTGGGATTCACTTCTGTACTAGGGCAAGATGCAACTTGGCTGTGTATCCAGCACGGAACACCTTTAGTCCTGGCCTCGTTTGTGCTAAGGTGACAGCAGTAGGTTGCTGGCAGGACCACCAGAYTGAGAGAGGCCTAAGGATGACACCTCCTAACCAAAACAAGGACTTCGGAGACCTTGGCACTGCCTGATCCCCATGCACTTTCCAGGGGGAACTGATTTGTACCCAGGTAAGGAGGCGAGCAGGCTCACCACACCTCCCACGTGGACATAAGAACCAGGAATGCACTTACTGTGTGTGTAGGTAAGGAAATTTTGCCATCTTTTCCTGCCATCACTCCCAAATTTCTCTCTCTAGTACTCAGCCTGAAGTGATCACAGCCCTTTCCTCCCCTGTCAATCCAGCAAGCTCTACATAGTTCCATGAAACYAGGTTTGGTCTGTTGGGCACCATCAGAAGAATTTGGCTGCCAGATGTTTCTGAAGTGCCCACCTTCCTCATCTAACCCCACTAGATGACAGAATCCTGTCCCTTGGTGGCTCTGTTCTGGGCTGAAGGCTGCAGTACAGGCGTCAACACCCTCTTATTCCCAGACCTCCAAAGGCAGGTGAGCTCAGAGCTCCTCTCCTCAAGGGTCCTGGGCATTCCCGGGCACTTTTCAGCTCTGCTCTGGTCCTTTGCTGCGACAGGAAGGGTTTCTACAAACATGAGAGAGCAGTGAAAAGCAGTCAGGAGAGCATGGCTTGATCCTGCCCGCATCCTGCACCAATGCTGGCAGGGGGGTAAGTCACAACAGGCCTGAAAACAAGGCCACTACGGTGGGCTGATGGCACCAGGCCATGCTTTGAAAGCCACCAACGTACACACTTCTACCAACTACAACTACCGTGAAATACTGCAGAGACTACAGCCAAAAAAGCCACCCCAAACTAGAAATCCTGATGGTTACAACAGTGCAAGGATGAGCACATCATATAACTCTTAATTGCTGATAAGATTCCAAAGTTAATTCCTGAGGCTTTCCTTAAGTTCTAGCCACTTCAAGTTCACTGACTTACAACTGTATAAAAGTGTGCAAAATGAAGATGCTTAATGACACTAAAGAAGAAACCAGCACTACTTTGATTGCTTTTACTTTTGTTTATTTAAATAGGATAAGGCTACTTAAAAGACAACTCTTTACATACAAAATGTACATTACGTTAAAGTTTGCTGTACTCGAGTACAAAACCTGCACAAGTGTTTAGTAAAAGGGAAACAGCACATGACATGTCCAAACACACATTCTAACYGTTTTACAGCATTCCAGAAGTGCCTTTTACGTCGTAACAGTGAATGGAGAGTTTCTGTCAGTAATGGTTACGCTACAGATTTTGCTTCCAATGCTAAATATTTAAAATGTAAACAAGCTTTCAGGTCACTACTGACAGCATCTCTTAGTGGGTTAACTAAGCAAACACCAGGATTTCTGCAAATCTGAAGTTCACTCAGAAGTAATTTTTAAAGCAAATCTGGAAGCATTATGTTTTACCTCATCCATCTTAAATGGATCTGTACTGGCTTCATTCTTAGCCACAACAAATTAATAAGATTTTTTTTTTCCATCGACTCAATTGGATTCCTGCTGCATATGGCACTAACAATTACCCCACGGAAATCCATACAGAAAAATCAATGTCTACCTCCAATAATCACAGGAAGAGAAGATAAAGACTTATTTATTTATTTAAGAGTCCAACTCCGTACATCAATATTCCTCTTCCTCTCCAGCTTCCAGGTAGCCCTCACCTGCATTCCACATGTTCCTCTCATATTTTATGAGCATGATTGTAACCAGGAAAGCGAKCAAATATGCTACCCAGGCATACTGGCACATTTAACCTATGTCCAGAATCTGCCTCTGTGTATATAAAAGAGCGTGGCACTAATCCATTCATCACTTCCTCTCAAAGACCCCTCACAGACAGCCTAGTAACAAGCTTCCACCACGAAGCTTCCACCACCACGAAATGCGCCTGTGCATTTCGTATGACAATAAGAGCAACTTCAATTTGAAGCAGAGCTGTTACATAGTTCATCTCTTATTACCAACCCAATCTGCCTGTAAATTCTACGCCTCTGTTCTGCGTAACAAAAARGAAAAAAAAGAAAATTGCCTCAGGTTATCTGGTCAGCAGAATGGCCARTCTCTTCATCTAAATTAATTACCTTTATGAAGCCAAGAAACTTCATGAGTTTAGTAACAATTTTAACTATTTAACCAAAAGTGGATCAAAATTGAAGCTTGCCGAAAACAAATAAAAAAAAATTCATATTAGATGCATGATTTGTAGGGACATGCAGGAGATGAACTATAACAAACTTGAGAACTGAAAACAAAGGCGTTTAGTATACTGTAATACTACCACCTTTTAAAGGGGGAATGAAGCACTCAGTGAACAATAGCAGACACTCTTAAGGTGACCGGTGATAATGACGTCAGCTTTACCATAGGAAAATTTTAAACTTGTTAAAACTCCACGGCAATCTGAATCAATCCCTGTAAAGTCTAAAAATAAGTGAACTAAACGGTTCGAATATGACTTATCTGATCAAAAAATATGGAAGCAGTATTTATGTTTTGAGCACCATTTGCTACTTCATGGCCATGTAACGTGCTGGATTTTCTTCTTTGCTTCTGTAGGCTTTAGGTCATTCTAGAATAGAAGAAAATACACAACTACTGTTAGGYTTATTACCTCAACTTGAAGGTTGTAGTTTACGACAACATGCAARTCTAGTATTGACTACTGATGGCCTCAGCTACTACAGTAGTGGCTTTCTATTGCCACCTGGTGGAGAAAGCCAAAATATCAGCGCTCCTCTAGAGGGGAGGGAATTAAAAGCAAATKAATTTAATTGCCTGCAAATCAAGTACTTTTATCCCCTTTTCTTCTAGAATTAGCTACATAAAAGTACTTTTCACTAGGAAAATCATGCAGCATAGAAGCAGATACATATGAGATTTTCAAAATTCAGACTTATAAAAGATTTCAAGCTGCTTTCTCAAAATACTTAAGAGGAAAAGAACAGTATCAGGAATCCAATTTTCCTTTGCCAAGTAGCAAACATGTTAGAAAGGAAAAGTAGGTTTTCCTTTGTAATGACCCAYATAAAAATGCTAAACAACTCCTTAAGCCTCACATGAAGGCATATTCAAAAAAACTACATCAAGTCTAAATTCAAACTGGAAACTGAAGTGGTGAAACAACTACCTTCTACCTTCCACTATCTAAACTAAGAAAAAAAATGAAAATTAGAGCTTTAATCTGACATGCAAAGTAAAGAGAGGAATACAAGTTTACAGCACATTCTCAAACAATGGCTTGGGAAACGTGTTGTGGATATTGAATGATACCAACATAAAATCCTGAGAGTATGTTAGGTATATCTGCAGCTTTCCAATGGATCTCAACCACTGAAAGGTTTAAAGAGTTGGACCTAAAGACCACGGGGTCACTTAAATGAAGTATAAAAAAGCGCTGTGCCTCAGCCTCACGTTAATCAAGTTTCACAAGCTCTTGATCTTTCAAATATTTAGAAAAGTTTTAAGTATTAAATAGTGATATTTATATTAGGAAGCACCTCTCCAAGTTGAACTTGATTCAGAGTCTCAGCCATGTTTTTTGTGAAGGATGTTAGGGCTTTCAGACATGCATTAGGTGCTTGTGGTGATTAGGTGCTTATTTTTATTACAAGTCTGAAGGAACTCCCAGTCTGTGCAGCAAGGATATCCTCTGCATTCTTTCATGAAAGGATTTGAGAGATAAATGGAAAGCACTGCGTGAGGCAATATCAACGGATCAACTGAAGTTAGGTCTGGTGTCCTAAGAAAATTTCAGTTAATGCAATTGCATACCAGATCTAGAACTCCCCTTTAGTTCTACTGAGAACAGATACTTCCATTTCTTCCTTTGAGAAAAGTATTCCAAAGAATCCCTATATTTCCATGTACATGTGAAGCAACTCCTGTATTAATTCAGAATGCATTTACATCATGAAGGAACACAATAAAGTTTAYCTCTACCTTACAGCAGGTCTCAATGAGGAGATGGCCCGTGATTTGGCTCTGCCCTGACAAGCACGTAAACACAAATCACACGTTTCTTAAAGCTCAGGACCATTGCTGCATTTTCCTCCTCRGCTTGCAACAGTGTTAGCACCATTACCTGTCCTTACAAACTTATTTCCTCCAAAGGTCACAACTCAGCTCTAAGTTCCTTTCTCAAGGCTTCAGTACATCAGTTTAGCCCATGTGTGGCAGAGGTCTCTCCTTTATCTATACTTTGTTTGCAGCTGAATCTAACTGGCAGAAAGCTAAATAGCTATTTTCATCATGTTTAACAGCTCCGTGATCAGCCTTCCTACTTGAGAACAGGTTCCTTCTGCTTAAGATCTCAGCATGTCTTTCATCTCCTCACAGATGCCCAGCTACCTGATTAAGATCACYAAGGCCCAAAAGGAGCACGTGTCCTGGTTTGTTGTTGTTCTGATTCAAACGCTCAATCTGGGCAGCTCTCTGCCTTTCCACACACAGTCCTCGTCCCCAGCTTGCAAAATTTAAAACAAATGGCTTTTTTTTTCACTCTAAGAATATCTTCTACCACTCTTAGCATCAGCTGCTTCAGTTCCTGTTAACATCTCCTTCGCTTTGACAAATGCAAGCTTGTCCTGTTCAGCCATTCAACTGAGACTATTGCAAATACTTGCTGTTATTGGGGGATTTTTTCTTCCCTATTCTACAACTCCCACTTATCTTCTCACTAAGTCTACACACACTCTTCTGTGCTGTCTGCCTTCTTGCATACCTACACAATGAGGTTTTTATTTGGGCTTAGTTTAACATTGATACCAGAACCATCTTTATTACTTACTCATTTTAGAAAACATACAGATTTTCAGTCTAGCTGCCTCTCTCATGCAGGAGTTTCCCATGAACAAGTACAAAGCACTTATCTTTTTTAATTCTAATCTCTTTCAAAACAGCTCCTCTTTTGCCTGTTTCTATATAAAGACTCCATTATTACTCTAGCATAAATTAATCTYGGAAACTATTACAAGTATTTACTTTTGGCTGCACCAAATTTCATTAAAAATAAGCTGCAAAACAAACAAAAAAACGAGCATACATACCCCCAAGTCAGATTCTTCTTTTGGAACAGCTCGCTTTAACTTCACAACTGTAGTTCCAGCTACTGAGGACAAAGGATACACCTTCAAGCTAGCCAACACATTGCTATCAGTCTTTGAAATACTGTTCTGCTTAGCCTCGTTATTCCCAGGTTCCAGCTTAGTGTCCTCTGATAAACTAGAAGCTGAAATGTACGTGGAGGCGTTTGAAGGACCGGATAATCTCCTAACGGTGTTGGTGGTGCTCCCGCCTGGGGGAGGCTTGAGGCGGTCGGCRGCTCCGTTCTCGGTCTTCTTCACTTTTATGCTGGTGCTCGTTGAGCTGCCGTCAAACACAATGAGCGGCCGTTTTCTCAAGCCTTCCACTGCTGTAACACTGAAAATACAAATTGTAAAACTGTCAAAACATAAGCTGGATGATCCAGAAACAGCCTACCTGAGACCCGAGTAGTGAAAATTAACTTAATCTTCCCTCAAGTRAAAATATTTCAATACTGTCCTTAAGTGTAGAAGAGTTGAAAGAATTTATACAATAGAAATTGCTTCCAAAACAAAATGAACAAACAAACAAAAAAAATGGGAAAGGTAACATTTTACGTAGACAACTAAAGCTTCACAATCAAAGACTGTGAGTTGTATCACTGGAGATGTTACAAAATAAAAAAAGGGAGAAAGACAAATTAGGACGTTTTCACAGATCTCCAATTGCTCTAGAGTGTGCTAAAAACCTAGAGCTCAAGAATGGCACAAAAAGTCACTGCAACGTGCAGATTTAACTTAAGGAATGATACTATTTGGGATAAACCATTAATGTATAGAAACGTCAGTTTTCAGTACACACGTTCTAAACATCTCACTTATTAAACATAGAAATAAGCACTAAACTATTTTCTCAACCATTAAATGCACTCATTMCAAATTAACAAATGCATCTATCAGCACTAGGTGATATCTCGACAGACTTTAGAAGAAACTGCAAAYGTAAACTGCATTTGTCTGACCTGGAAAAGCATTAGATTAATATGTGAAAATTATCAGCAGCTATCAAGACCAGGAATTACACATCTGCTGGATAATTTACACCAAAAGGAGAAGTTCTTGAAAAAAGTGAAAGGAACAACAATTTAAGGGCTCACAGAGTAACAGCTCAGCTCTTTTTCTAGTTTGCTTCTATTTTACTGCCTCTTCACAATAATGTACACCACATTGTATATATATATATATATTTATTATTATTAGTTCTATTTTCTTCATTCATTAGGTTCTCAGAAGTGATAGAGATCTTTGTTCGTCAGGACACAGCTTTGGTTTATGACTACACTAGCTGCGATTTCTAGGAGAGCTCCTATGAAATATGAGTAGCTTCTAAGTGCAGGCACAGACGAGATCTCATTGAAGAGCAGCAGTGCTCAACACAATCATTACATTAAAGGGTGTACATATGAACACTTATACATATGAACAAATATACATATGAACACTTAAATGAAAGTTGGTACTTATTGCTCACTTTCTTGGACAAAACCAACATGCTCTTCTAGTTCAGAAACTCTCCAAGGACATGCAATCAATCAAAAGCAGTAAAAACTAAATACATTATTCAACACAAAGTTATAAATTCCAACAGGGAAAAAAAACAAGAAAGGTTATACCTCATATCTGCAACCACTACAGGTAGGCAAACAGGCCCTACCGAATTCTGCACAAGCCCCACGTCAGCTCCAGGGCCCTTTGGAGATGTGGGCTTTCCACAGGAAACTCCTCACAGAAGTCCTACCATACACATGGTGAAGCAACTTATTCACCTTCAGAACTATATTAACAGCATGCTTACTTGCAGATTTTGACTTGCACATCTCTTACAGTCTCACTATGTGTGTGTCTCTCTCTAAATATCTGTATATAAAAAACAAGAATGCCCAGTTGTGCTGTTTGAATCTCTCCATGAATATATTTTAACTGAAGTTTTCTCTGCACAACTTTTACTTCCTATAAGTGATAAAATTCTCTTACCGAATTCTCTAGGCTGCCTTACCCAATTACTCCCGATTCTCTGGAGCTGGCAATACCAGCAGCAAATATAAAATGTAAAATACATTTCTGGAAAGGAGTTTGCCACCATGTTCACCAAGTGTAAAAGACGTAATAGAAGCAAACACAGTACCTACTGGAAAATCTTAAACTGTGTACCAGCAGCCTGGCATGCTAGATATTAAATGCCAAGAGTAATTAGTAAAGAAGAGTGGTAGCCTAATATATCCACTTCTACTTACCATTTACTCAGCATCTGCTAAAATGGTTTGGCTGTGACTGAGTTCTAGCATACCAAGCTAGTTAACTCCTACATAAACCCAGGGTGAAGCCATTCTCCCACCTAGAAAGGTAGAGTCAAACATTCTTCTCAGACATTCTTGTTTGGCATCTTTGTTTCTCCGACAAAAAAAATATCACTTTTGCAGTTATTTCAGCGAATCAGTCATGTCCTGTTATTTGAGCAACTACCTCATGCTTTTATCTTGAAATAGGAAACTGTACATAGAAGTGCACTTAAAAAGTCATAATTACTCTGTATATGCAGATGGTGAAAAAAATCCTAACATAATRAGACAATTCAGTGCCCTTGCCTTCGCTAAACAGCTGCTTGCCAGAATTTGTTTAGCTCTTTCCAGGCTAGAAATTTCAGTAGAACAAGAATACACTCATAAAATTATTAAGTTGCAATGGTGTACACAAGGACACTCTGATCACCCATCCTTTAGCATCTGCTGCTGGAGCTCAGAACAGGCTGTGCCAGAAAGTTGCTGCTGCACATGAGATTTCAAGGTCAGTCATGCTTGGGTGAGAAGATTAGGAAGAGACTCAGTAAAACTAAGTTCTGAGGAACACTTTGCTTCACAAACTCAGCAGTTTTAAACATGAGAGAGAAGGCTTATGTGAAAGAGATACTGGATTTGACCTGGACACATAAAGCTTCCAAAGAAGTATGTGCAGCATATACTTTCAAGTCTGTATTATCCATAAGCTACACTAGCTCTAGCCTGGTACATAGTACTGCTGTTTTTCTCAAGCAATATTAGGATGCCCATCATCTAACAATTATAATGCAACACYGCAAAGTTTTTTTTCTTTGTAATTTTCAGTGTCTTAAAAGTATTCATGATAAGAAGCATTAAAACACTACGAGCAAGCAAGACAACTCAAAGGAAAAGTTTTTTTTTTTTGTTATCCAAATTTTATTCGTTTCCTATCACTGTAGTAGCAGAWTGTGATGCTTTAACAGGGAAAATCTGAACAGTATTCTCACTTAATGGTAATACGGCCAATAACTGTACAAGTTTTTAATTATCATGGAATTAAGCATTAAGTTTTCCTAAATACCCCAGATCTGTTCCACCAAAAGCTGAATTACCTTTTATTTTCACTTTTCAAGTTATTTTGCTGTCTCTTCTTTTCCATCATTTTTCCCCATCTGTTTTTTGGTAAGTCCCGCTGGGGCAGTGGTATAGCATGTTGAACATAGAGATCCGTGAGTCCATCCTTGTCCCTCTTTACATCGTTTTCAACAGGTATATTCTTCTGCAGGGAAGGGGGGGAAAAAGACAGTTACTACTATTACATAACTGAAAGCCTAAGCAGATTAATGGCATAATTTAATTTCTCCAAAGCCACTCTCAAGGAGCATACAGGGCATATATCACAGTTATGGTAGCAGAGGCCACAGGGATAACCTGCACAGGAGGACACGACCAACTGTCCTGTACCAGGCRCTGCTGCGTCCAACTGGCTCTGAATCCCACAATCCTCTGAGCAAAGGATCAGCCGGAGAGCACGTGGCACCTCTGGTCAAACACATACAGAGAGCAGCAGCTGCTGGGGCGGGTGGCACAGAAGGACACACCTGAGCACATGGGCAGAGACAAGGAGGAAGAAACCACGGCACATCCGTGCGGCCTGCACTTCAGCAAGGAACTGGGAGGCACTGAGTGTAAAGTGTGACAGAAAAAAGGGCAGCTAAAAATAGGAAGGGAGAAGGAGAGGTGGGTGCTTCACTGAAGCTGAGGCTGAAAAAGGGCAGACAAAASGTTTTGCCAAGTGGTTGTTACATAGATTCTTCCTGCTGCTCACTTTCCTCCACTGCTCCCTGCTTCTTACTCTTCTATCTGCCTCTGTTCCRGCATGAGCACCCACAGGCCCCAGTCCCTTCAGGGGTGTCCCTGTCCCAGCGTGGGTGTTCTGGAGGCCACAGCCCCAAGGAGACACATCCTTCTCCACAAGGAGCGTCTTCCAAGAGTGCATGTCCAACTGTGGCCCCAGAAATATCACCTTCCACATATGCCATGCATTTCGGGTATCTCCCAAGGCATCCCTTCAGAGACAGGCTCATGTGTTGTCTTCTGTGCATCCCATTGTGTCCTGCTCCTGGTGGCTGATGCCCTCCCTTGAATACGTCTGGGCAGAGGCACCACTAGCCCCTCTGACTGCCTGGAGCCTTGGCAGTGGCTCCTACTGCCTTTCACAGTGGCTGAGTTCAGCTGTGGCTGGTACAGGGCAGCTCGCAGCCTCGACCTGCACTGGTCACTTATCCAGCGTCCCACTAACAAAAACCTGCAGTTTATGCCCAATAAAAGCAGTTAACAAACAAACAAACACTTTATTACACAGATATTGCTGTTGAGGGATGTTTTAGGGCACTCTTAAACACATCAACCTGAATCCAACAGTGTGGAGCCCTCCACCACACTACTAAACCAGAGCATGCTGCAGTTCCAGCTTCCAGACGCAGAGACTGCTTCCTCAGTCCCCAAAGCRTGAGCGGTTGTAATGGACCTAAAACAGATTTCTAGTAACTATTTCACTTTTCTAACCATACACAAGGCTGTAAAACCAAAACTCTTTTGGTATCTGCTGCCAAATTTATAAAAAGAAGAAAAAAAAAAGAGAGAGAAAAAAAAACCAGCATACTGCGCACTAGAAGTCACGGAAAACAGATCCAAGTCTTTGCTGCTACTTCACGGCTGCTGGAATGAGCCTGATACCTGTATCCTTCTCTGGATCTAAACTACGTGTGCCAGAGTATGCCAAAACTCCGTGAGCTAACACGAAAGCAGAGGCTGCCATCTGTTCTGTGCAGCAAATGCGGCAGCAGCAAGCACTTCACATCGACTGAAACAAGGTGTGCTCCAAAGCTGGTTGCAAACTCACATATTTCCATCGTGTCCACCTAAATATTAGCTTGATAAGTCATGCAGGTTACATTTCCTTGGATTCACCAGCTGAACACAAACCTGCCTTAACAAACCAGCTCAACTTCACATGGCCAACTTCACTGAATGTAAACACTGTCAACACACTGCATGCAAAGTGCCCAACCTGGGTGAACGACCTGAGGTCCAACCCTTTACCAAGTCCTAGCATTAGGTCCCTTCCAACCTCAGCCTTTCGGTGACTCTGTAAATTACTGGTACAGGCACCAAACTGGTGGCGCTCAACCAAGGCCCCTCTGCAAAACCCTGAGGTGCTGCAGGCTTCTTTCAAACCAAGGTCCTGCTTATAGAAGTGACTTTTTGGGGGGCGTGGGGTAGGGGGGAGAGAAAGGAGGAAAGAGGTGAGCGCTTCTGGGGAGCCCCTTAAATGCGGTATAAGGGCTGAGAACTACAGGAACACCRGGAGAGAGGGAACCATAACGGTGATGGGGGAAGGGGGCGTTTCCCAGCGGAGGAAATAGAAGACAGAAAGTCCCACACGGCAGCGGGCCCAGCGCGAAGGACCRTGCAGGGAACCGGCCGGGCCGGGGTCCCGCCGGGCCTCGCCTCCCCGCCCCTTCCCCTCCGCCGGCCGCACGGCGGCTCCCGGCGCACCTGCTCCAGCGTGAGCAGCAGGAACTCCTCCGAGAGCAGCTCCGGGTGCAGCAGGAGCAGCTCCGCATCGGGCCGCCCCGCGCCCGGATCCCGATCCCGATCCCGCTCCTCGCCGCCGCCGCCGCCGCCGCCGCCGCCCCCCCGACCTCGGCCCCGGCCCCGGCCCCGCGCCGCCATCTTGTTCCGCCGCCGACCCCCTTCCGCCTTCCCACAACCGCGCAGGAGAGTGACGTTGAGCAGTGACGTCACGCCGGGCGGGAAGCGCTCCCGRGGAGCGTTTTCCCGCCCCGTCCCGTTTCGCGCCCGTTTGTTCCGTTGCCCCGCGCGCTCTCCTCGCGGCGCGGGRCGGGGGCAGTTAATCCCGCCCCGCCTGGCGCCGCGGCCGCGCTCGCCGGGACCACAGTGCCGGGTGCGGGCGGGCGGGAGGAGACGAAAAAACGAATAAAAAGGTGCTGAAAACGGCCGTTAATTCACGGCGACTGGCCTGAGCGACGCTGCTTCTAGCGTCGGGAGAGGCCTGCAAGTGGAAACTTACTATTCGTATAAGGTATTAATGAAATACCAGTAGAATGTGAATGGCCTTTATGGGGGAGAAGAGGCGCATGGAARGGGACTCCAGCCGTCTGATGCTTCCTGGTTGATAAGACGTTTGGAATATTTCCAGTGTAAGTCATCACTAGGTGCAGAGAGGRACTGCAGGACTGCTTGGCAGGAGGAAGGAGGTTAATACTGAAAATGGAAAGCCACATCTGAAAAAGATAAGGAATGCTAARAAAGCAGGTTCTGCCCTTACTTGATTTGTGCTCCAGACTTTCTTCTGTTTCATCTATGCAAGGGCTATCTTAAGAGGAGTTAAGTGCAGGAGTAATGGTTGGGGGACACATCAAAAGAGAAGTGGAAAAGTCTTAGGCTGTTTATTTAGTTCAGCATAACACCCCAAGGCCACTGTAGAGCGTGGCAACGCAACAGCCAACAAGTGACAAGAACTGACTACACTTTACAGAATAAGCAGCACGGGCAGTAAGTTGCCTGCACACGCAAGGCAGGGGTGTTGTGTGTAYGTGTGTGTGCACACACAGCTGCAAAGAATGGGAGTTCCTGCTGCTGAAAAACATGTAACTGCACAAGGAAGCAGTGTAATAATATACATGAAATAATGTTATCTACTATCCCCAAATCTCTGTTTTCCTGCTAGATTGTAATATCGTTTTCTTTGTGTTCCTTCCTTCCCTCCTCTCCATTCATCCACTGTTACTTGCAGAGCTTGAACACAACTGTTTTCTGAGCCTGCTTTCATCGTGACTGACGTTATGTATTTTTTACACTGCTCAGATAACTTGTGGTTGGATCTGCTKCTGTGCACAGGTAGAATTGGTTTCSGTTCCTGACTGGCARCGCATTTTTAACAACTTTAAGAGGCACACAGGGGCACAGGATCCCAGAACGGTTGAGGTTGGAAGGGACCTCTAGAGACCACCCAGTCCAACCCCCTGCTCCAGCAGGGACACYCAGAGCAYGGGGCACAGGGCGGCATCCAGGYGGGTTTGGAGAYCTCCAGAGAAKGAGACTCCACAACCTCCCTGGGCAGCCTGTGCCAGGGCTCTGGCACCCTCACAGGGAAGAAGTTCTTCCTCATGCTTGGACAGAATTCCCTGCACTTCACTGTGTGACTGTTGCCTCTTCTACTGTTGCTGACTATCACTGAAAAGAGTCTGGCCACATCCTCTTGATACCTGAAGGTGTTTGTAGTCACTGGTAAGATTCCTCTCAGCCTTCTCCACGCTGAACAGCCCCAGCTCACTCAGTCTCTGCGCATACGAGAGATGTCCCAGTCCCTTAATCATCTTAGTTGCTCTCTGTTGGACCCTCTCRAGAAGCTCCACGTCCCTCTTATACTGGAGAGCCCAGAACTGCCCCCAATACTCCAGGTGCGGCCTCACCAGAGCTGAGTAGAGGGGCAGGATCACTTCCCTTGACCTGCTGGCAACACTCCTCCTGATGCAGCCAGGATCCCATTGGCCTTCTTGGCCACGAGGGCACACTGCTCACTCATGGTTAACTTGGTGTCAACCAGGACTCCCAGGTCCCTCTCCGTGGAGCTGCTCTCCAGCAGGTCAATCCCTAATCTGTCCTGGTGCCTGGGGTTATTCCTCCCTAGCCCTGATCTCCCCTGTCTGTCCTGGACAAGTTTCCGAGAGGAGGCCCCTCACACTGTGAGAGCTGGATGAGGAGGCAGTTAAACCTCCCAGCGGATTTTTTCAGGCTCTCTCAGACAGAAGGCACCATGGAACTGAGGAAAGGCAGCTTTAAAGTTCAAAGATTTACGCTTAGTAACCAGTAGCCGATTCTCTTGCCCAGTGGGTCAATCCAAGCAGCGTGAAAATAAAATAAAATAAGAAAAAATAAGATAAAATAAGACAAAATAAAGTAAAATAAGATAAAAAAGTAAAAAGAAGTAAAATAAAATAAAGTAAAATAAAATAAAATAAAGTAAAATAAAATAAAGTAAAATAAAATAAAGTAAAATAAAATAAAGTAAAATAAAATAAAATAAAATAAAATAAAATAAAATAAAATAAATAAAACAAAGGTATGTGGCGCTTGGTGTAACGCCGAAGGCCCCGCCCCGCAGTTGCTTAGCAACCGCCCCGCTCCTTGCGCGGTCACCGGAAGCTCCGCCCCCGGCGCAGCCCGGCGCACCTTCGGCGCCCGGGTGCCGGCTCGCCCCCACGTGACCGGAAGCATGCCGGCGCTTCCTAGGGAAGCCGGCGGCGCTCYCTTCCGCCCCGCGCAGGGCGCCCGTGACGCGGCGGGGCGGGGCCCGTGTCCGCCCCGG